GCAAAGGAAAATGTCATGGAGTACTGGGCAGCTGGCAGAGAGGCAGCCCTGCTGGCCTGGGGTTGGACAGAGAGGGCGTGGATGTAGAGGTTGTCATCTGAAGGCATGAGTACTCACAGAGGCGGCTGCCTCTTCAGGTGCTGAAGGATGTTGACATGGTGTGTGTGTGTGTGTGTGTGAAGGTGGGGGTGTGAGAACGTGTAGATCTGTGTGTGAATGGCTTGCAAATGTGTGTCTGTGGGTGTAACATCACCACACACACACACACACACACACACACACACACACACACACACACACACACTTGGTGACTGAGAGGCCACAGTAGGCTTGGCGAAGTGACAGATGATCGAAGGAAGGACCTCTTCTCTCAAGGAATCTCTAGTGTCATGACGGAAGCAGGATGGACGTGAGTAGAGCAGTATTTACTAACATGAGGAGACCCAGGCAGATGCCTGAGCACAACAGAACACCAGGGGAGCCGACACAGTGAAGGGGACACTATCAGGAGAGTGGGGGCAAGGCTGAGCTGAGAGGGGACAGCACACTGAGGGACAGTCCAGACTTGCGGGGGTGGGGGTGGGGTGGGGATGGGGGACGGAATTCTTGGCCCATCTAGATTGGCAGACAGGGATGGGTGAACCAGTTGTTCCGGCATCATGTGAGGCTCCTAGGAATCTGTGTATTGTTGGGGGGCCGGGGCGCTGCTATGGGATCAGTTGGTTTCTCTAGAAGATAGAAATGGAAATATCAAGGCCAAGGCTGCTGCTAGGAAAGACGTGTAGGGAAACCATGGAGAATCACAGATGAGCTGAGGCCATGTTTAGAGGGCACGCGCACGTGTGTGTATGTAGGTAGGACGGGAGCAGTACACCGGGAAGCAGAGAATGAAAGTCCAGTATGTCCTAGGCCAGAGTCGCCTCTAGCACCAAGTCTGGGCAAAGCATGGCCTTTAGGATGATGTCAGTAAAATATGACCCGCCCTTATCAGAGGTCGTGGCTTCAGGGGCCCTAATGGTACTTGATATGTTTGGATATCTTCTCCAAAGTATTCTGTGTGCTCCAGTTCTCAGGCTACACCAGGGTGGCACACACACCCAAGGGAACAGAGACTTGCAGTTCTATTTTGTCCCGTGCACTGGGCACGATGTTGTGCACGACTTATCACGAGGCATTGTCCTGGGAGTGCCGAGGGCATTGGGCAGTCATGACAAGAAAGGATGGGCTGTGGCACAGGAGTGGCATCATGGCACCACAGGACTTCCTCACTAGATCAGGGTGGCTTAAACCCCTCTAGGTCCTCCCTGTGGAAACCCCACTTAGGAATGTCTGGAGTTGGCCCCTTCAGTCAAGTCTGGTCAACGCTGTCATTTGTGTGGCAGAACACAGGAAAGACGAACACAGGAAATCAGTTCCAGGTCCTTCCGCTGTAGACTAATCTGTTCTGTTTTGATGAGATAGGAATCGAGGGGTATGGGGTGTGAGGTGCAAGATCACACGATGATTGAGAGAGCTTGAATGTCAAGATGTTCTTATTCTCTGAGTACATGTGTCTGTCCTGAGTCACGGGACAGAGCAGAATCCTGATGAGGGTTTCACCCTCTTCTCTTTGAACAATGCCCCCTGCCACTCGTTACCAGTCATGGCAGGTTCAGTGGCAATCCATTGCCACAGTCAGCCTGTCACCTACAAATGAGTCCCAAAGAGGACAAGGCCCTGAATAGGAATAGAACACAATTGGCTATACATTTATTTATTTATTCATTCATTTTTTTTAAGTGAACTGTACCCTGTGTCACACTGGGGACCTTTAGGTTACTTTAGTTTCAAAACTGCTTTGCAAACATTTATAATTGTCTAGCTAATTGGCTCAGCCAGCTTTATCTTTGATGTCCCTTTGCCTAACTCCTATGGCTTCTTCACTTTCCCCCTTCAGCCTCCAGAAGCTGCCCCTGCCTGTTCACCATGGGGGATACACCATCTGGTTCTAACATGCCTGCATCTCTCATAGCGCTAATCCTATGGGCAGAAAACGAGATCCGGGCAAGACCTGGGGCCTGTGTTCCTTGGCAGGGCTCTGTGCCCTGACCTGAGTGTTGGTTTCGCCTAGGGCTCTGTGAGTTCCGAAGCACTGTCAGATGGGGCAGCGTCCACCAGGCTCTCAACACTCCGAGTTATGCAAGGACCACAACAGTCACTGCTTTGGCAATCGCCCTGGGCCCATCTCTCCTGACCTCTCACTGTCTCGCATCAGCACTCCTCCAGGGGCCTCCTGCCCGGTTCTCTCTGGTTATTCAGATTACTTGTTTCTAGAGAGTCACTTTCATGTGCTACCTCTCCCACAAACAATCTCCACTGGCTTCTTGTGGTCTACCCACTAATGCCACATTTCTGGTAGCCCGTTCCTCTGTTTGCTACAATTTTCTTTCTTTATTTTTATTTTATCTATCTATCTATCTATCTATCTATCTATCTATCTATCTATCTATCTACCTATCTATCATCTATCTATCTATCTATCTATCTATCTATCTATCTATCTATCTATCTATCTATCTTGGTTTTTAAGATAAGCTTTCTCTGTGTAACAGCCCTGGCTATCCTGGAACTGCTTTGTAGACCAATCTGGCCTCGAACTCAGAGATCCACCTGCCTCTGCCTCTCAAGTGTTGGGATTAAAGGTATGTGCCACCACCGCCCGGCTTGCTCCCTATTTTCTTACTTGAAAACAATAACAACAACAATACCCAACCAACTTTGTATCTCTAGTTTCCACAACCAAATGCTCCCTCTTCCTCCACTCAAGAGTCCAGATCTTCTACAAGGCCTGATCTATATTCCACTCCTCCAGGAAGCCCCAGGGGAAGATGTCTGTAGGTTGGATGCCAGTGAGCACTTCATCTTTCTAGAGAGGAAGCTGAGGGCCTGAGAAGATTATCACCAGCCAGAGAGTGGAAGCAAGATTTCCTCACCCCACAGTAAAACACCTTAATTCCCTACCTGGACAAAGAGGGGTGCTGTCCTGGAGAGAAAGAAACCCCAGGAAGGGACAAGATCCACTCACAGTCCACATGGCACTATTGTGTCCTCAGAGTCAGAACAAAGCAATTAAGGACTTAATCATAAGCTGTTCTGCACTGTTATTTAATCAGTTCCAAACTATACTGTCAGCTCCTTGAGGGCAGGGAAAATCCTGTGGGCTCTGGGACTGTTTCTTCTTGGCACAAGGCTAGGCACATGGAAGGTCCCCCCATGGTAGGGCCAGAACCTTTGGCAGCAAAGAAAACTATAGGAGTCTTATTCTGCTCAGATGCATGCAAGGAGCAAGTGTGAGTGTGTGCACGTACGGAATGCTGGTTCTGGTAAAGATCCAGAGTGATTAACAATGGTTTCAGGCCTCATAGATTTGCAGTTGTCTTGCCTTGCTGTCTGTCCTGGAGGGGAGGCAGCCTCTGCCGAGCATTGGAGTCACTGCCTTTCATGGATGTGAGCCTAAGTCACATCTCTGGAGCCTTATTTCAGCAGGCCAAGGCAACGTCTTGGGCACACACCACCCACTTCCTCTCCTGCCCCGGTCACCATTCTTTCTGGCATCTTCTAATGCTCTTCTCCACTTCCATCCTGTCAGGAGAAAGCCAGCTTCCCAGTGTGAGCCTCTCCTGAGCATTTTCCTGTTTAAGGCAAAATTGCCTTGGGATCCTGGAGTCCAAGGTCGAGTGCTGAGGCCAGGTTGAGTGCTGAGGCACTGCCTTGTCCTTCAAGAGTCTCATAGAATGGGCAGGAACTGTGTAGAGGGCCTTAGTTCTCCCGCACCTTGCAGCTACAGAGCCTTGGCGGCTTCCTGTCATTTTGGCGAGACGGGTACTCAGGAAGCTGGGGAAACTTGCTTTGGTCTGGTCAAGATGCATTCTTTTTTCCCTTTCTTTGTGCTTGCTATCCAGATTTAAAAGTGTGTCCTTGACAGAGCTCTTTAAAACAGACTTGCACGGCGGGCAAGGGGCTGAAGGCACCTGGGGGGGTTCATGGGTGGAAAAGTGGCGCCATCTTGGCCCCAGGGGCCGAGTCCTTTGTGATGGATGGCCCCAGCTCGGCACACATCTAAAGGGCTCCACCAGCATGCCAGTCCCTTTCTGGGCTTCAGCTCCTTACCTCTGGAGCCTCAGGCACAGGCGATGTGACAATACCTGTGCCAGTTTCCCAGTGGGTGGAAGTTAGCTGGGGTCACTGGGGGAGAGGAAACAGCTGCCCACATCTGCCTTCTCACTCGCCTTGGCACAGCCTGGGGAACGTGTGTTTATGTACCCTTACACTGCCACCTGTCACTTCTACAGGACCTTCCCTTTTCCTAAACCTGGGAGATGACAAAGTACACAGGGATCACTCTATGCCCAGTTTCCCAAAAAGAAATCTAAGGCTCGCACAGTGATCTACCTGCAGTCTGTCTGGGAAACTTTCCAGCCCCGTTGTCGTGATGACTGAGGCCAAACTGGCAGGTTAGCCATGGGGAGGCTGTGGAAATGTGTCCTCTCCTATGTCTGAGGAGGATTGCTCAGAGAAGCTGGGGGGTGAGGGGGGAAGAGGTGTGGCTGGGGACATCTTTGCCCCATCACTGAGATGGCAAGGCAGACCAGGCAATTAACCACTAATGAAGACAGACCAGCAGGGTGGCATTCCAGGGTACTCTTGCCCAGATTGGCCTCAATTATAGGGCACAATTACCTGCTGAGGTGTTGTAGGGTGGTTGCCTGTACATGCCATGCAGAGTTTTGGGGGCTCTCCTTGGCTGATGTGTTTACTTCTGGGAGACAGCATCGGAGCCCAACACCTCCTTTAGGACATTCATCCCAATCAATTCACTCCCAAGAAGTACTACCATTTGACCCCAGCCTCCAAGGCTCTTGGATGGAAATGGAAGTTCTGACTTGCCCGTAAAGACACACAACTTGAGTTTTGCCCCAGAATTCATCCTAGCTTCATTGTGAAGGTCCGGAAGGCCTCACCTCGATTTTCATTTTGTTTGGGGGGGGTAGGGATGGTTGAAGTTCCCTGAAGAAAGACGAAGAACTGGTAGCGGTGTAAGCCAGTGGTCGGTGGGGGGGTCGGAGGCCCGTAGTCTGTAGAGAAAAGGTAAGAGACACAGGTGGGTTCATCCCCATGCTACCCAGGGTGGAGTTACTGCTTACAGCGTCTCCTGGCTGCTCTTAAAAAAAATATCGGCCGGGCGGTGGTGGCGCACGCCTTTAATCCCAGCACTCGGGAGGCAGAGGCAGGCGGATCTCTGTGAGTTCGAGGCCAGCCTGGTCTACAGAGCGAGATCCAGGAAAGGCGCAAAGCTACACAGAGAAACCCTGTCTCGAAAAACCAAAAAAAAAAAAAAAAATCATCTGTGTTTTTCCATCCTTGGTGACCTTCCTAGGGTTACCCGAATGACGTCACACCTACTGCGCCCCTCCCTCCCCCATCAGGACTTAGGTTTGGTGGGATCTCCCCTTCAATGTCTGTATTTAAGGTGTTTGTTTGGGATAGGTAGGTGTGTTGTTGTTGGTAGTGCAACTTCGGGTTGGCATGAAGACTCGAGGCTCCCAGGCCATCCTGGGTGGATGGGAGTTGGTGGTGTTCAGCTTTTGTGTTAGTCTATCCTGATGGATTTCCTGCCTCAAGAGAAACCCATCTTCCCCTATGAGCGTGTCTGGCAGTATGTTTTAATTAAATTTTTTTTTCCTTTTATCATTTCCTTGTGAAGTCAATCCCTAAAGAAGCCAGTTTCTTGGCTGGTTTGGGAGGATCTGGAAGTGGTTACTAGGGTGGGTGGGACTAGGTTCAAAAGGTTTGGTCACAGGCACTGTGGAAGCTAGGAAGCTCGGGGCTCTGGGGGAGAGGGCTCCTTCCCTTTCATTCTCCCTCTTGGAGGCTGGCTGTTTTGGGGGGTTAAGATTGTAGGGTGAAGGTATCCTTCCTCTTTGCCTATGTAGCAACGGGGAACTTGGTGGGCCTGGCCTAGGCCTTCTAAGCCGGAACTCCTTCCAAGGCTGCTTTGGCCCTCCCACTTTGCTCTCCTATTTCCCTTTCTAGGGAGGACGTACAAGCTGGAGCCAAGAAGAATCTTCCCGGGTCAGGGGTGGTGGGGGGGTGGGGAGCGGAGGCACAATTCCAAGGACGCTAGTGGGTGGGAACACTGGTTCTTCATGGCCATCCTCCTCTTCCTTTCCTCTCTTAACCATGAAACACAAGAGGGAATGACTGTTTGCCACTGTTGGAAGTGTTCTCATAGTATACTTCCGGCCACTGGGCCACCAGCATACTAAGAGCCAGGGGATTTCCTGACTGTTCATCTTTCCCATTGCAGATCAGATTATGTGTGTGTGTGTGTGTGTGTGTGTGTGTGTGTGTGTGTGTGTGTGTGTGCTGATGGAACAGAGCAGGCTGTGCCAAGAGCTGTGTTCGTTTGTGCAGTTCGGGGTCTACAAGGGGGCAGGTGATGGCATGCCAATGCTCCGAGGCTGCTTTGGAGCTTTGGAGTGTAGGGAAATCAGGGGATTCCTCTCAAACACTTCTAGGGCTAAGAAAGACTTCTGGGCATGGGGAGTGAAAAGACTGTTGCTTCATGTACATGAGTATGTGGAAGGCAGATGTAACAACAGTTGGCTTCTGGCCGGGCTGGTGGTCTCGGGAGTTACCTAGTGCCCTTGAGGTGGGTACATTCTTTATGGCCAAAAGACAAACCTGAAATTAGAATTATGGATTTAATCTCAGGGGAGATGGGAACTTATCCTTACCCCTCTTACTAGGGCTTTCCTGAAGGAACCTCCTCCATTCAAAACCTCCGGAAGTGAAGATTTGGGAGTGGGAAGTGGGTTCCCCACATGTTGGCTAGGAATATCAATGACAGCTTCCTTCCACCCAGGACTTGGTTAGGTCCATTTTTATGAGGAGACTGAGGTTTTGAGAAGTGAGACTGGGTCCCCACGACGTGGAGCTGGAATTGGCCTACATGATGCCAGCCCATGCTGCTTCATGGACGGTGTGGGACCGTTTGGATTTAGTCTTTCGTCTGTGGCCAACTCTCCATCTGAGTATCCCCTTTAAATAGAATCCAAGGTATACCTTAAGAGTGGGGACCTCAGAAGGAAGGGGATTGGGGTCTGGGGGTCTAGGAAATTTTGTCGTGAGTGCCCCCCATCCAGCTAGACCGCTGGCTGGCCTCTTGCCTTCATTGCTGCATGATAGAGGGAAGTCCTCTTTCCACCCCTAACTCCTACTCCGGCCTCAGCTTCTTTAAAAGTAGACCTTGGGGCTGGGGAGATGACTCAGTTGGTAGAGTACTTGCCTAGCATGCTTGAAGCCCCCCGGGTTCCATCACCGGCATGGAATAAACCGAACATGGTGGTGCATAGCTACAATCCCGGGATTCAGGAGATAGAAGCAAGAGGATCAGAAAGTTTAAGATAACTCTTGAGCTATGTTGAATTTGAGGGCCACCTTGGAATACATGAGACCCTGACTCAAACCAACCAACCAACCAACCAACCAACCAACCAACCAACCAACCAACCAACCAACCAACAAGACCTGGATGCCAGTGACCTAGCCTACAGGTAACCTCTGGAGGCGATATTTAGTATTTGCACATTGTGAATTAGTGTCACGGTTACCCTGAGGACTGTCATTAATGCCCTGGCTGCAGACGGGATGCTGGAGGGGCCCACTCACCTGTTATCACGCTGCCCCGAATAGTGCCAGTTTTTAGGTCGGCACCCTAAAAGGAGAGATGGGAAAGACTGTCGATTACTTCCCGGGCAGCCGTGGTAAAGGCTGACTCTTGCCACGCTTCAGCAACGCCCCTCTCTCCCCAGCAGCTGGCCTTTCTCTGGAAGTGGGATGGTGGAGTGGGTGTATGTGGCTGCTTCTGGGAGAGGATTTTGGAGTTGGAAAATGGTACTTCAGGGAGCCTAGGGGAGAGGAGACAAGACGCAGGGTGTCAAGGGGTGGGAGGTGTCCTGGAGGCAGAGAATAGACGCCTGACTTCTGAGGTGAATCCTGATAGAGACCTTCCCAAAGGGCTTCTTTAGGCTCCCCATCTGCACCTGAGACTGGGTGCAAGGTGTAACTGTTCATGGGGCACCTGGCCTGGCTGTCCCTAGGGGCTGGTTAGTTAACTCATCTTCACAGGAGGGAGGACTCTGCTTCCTCCGGACCCTTTAGCCTACGAGGCAAGGAAAGCCAAGGAAGGTCAGGGGAAGAGAGTGGACTGCCTGAGTGGACTTAGCCACAGCTCCGGGCAGTCTTTTTGGCCTCAGTTTCTCTCCGCTTCCCTCTGCCCTCCTTCCTTCCACTCCATGTCTGTGGGATAATGAGCTGCTCCTGGAGGCGGGTGCTAATTATTGTTTTTGCAGGGCTGGTGGGTGCTTAGATGAAAGAGACTGGAGCCAGGCCCCTGGGTCTGTGCCACAGCTCAGGGGGCCCCAGGCCATGCCAGGGAGCCCCGAGGGCCCTAGGTGTGGGGTTTTATAGCCATAATGATGGTGATTAGCTTGGTTCTTAATTGATTCTGCCAACACCTAACTGTGCCCTGGCCCCCTTTCTACCCAGTCTTTCCTGGGGCAGTCTATGCCTCTCACTCCCTGAAAATGGAGGCAGGATGGAGGAGTGGTGGGGGAGAGTGAGGCTGGGGCAGGTGAGGGCTGTACCCTGGTTAGCTGATTGCCCTTTCTAGGACCTAGAAGGGACACTGATGGAGAGGCGTTAGGAATCTGACCTCTCTGGCTTTAGGCTATGCGTGTCCACTGTTCACTGTGGGTATCCTTGTCTGTGTCCCTTCTCGAGGCTCAACTATAAGGGTCTAGGTCATCTTCATCTAGGGCAGGAGGCTAGAAGGACAGAATCTTACACCCTAAGCCCACTGCATCTGATTTTCCCTATTCTCTTTCTTCTATTCCTTCTATTCCTTCCCTTCCTCCCCCTCCCATCCCTATTCCTGCAGCCTCGGGTGCACCTGGGTAGCCTTCAAACACAGACCCTTGCTCTGATGCCCACTGTAGCCTGCCGGGAGCTTCTCTCAGAGCGGTCTCTTAGCTCCGCCACTTTGGGGCCTGGTCTTGTCTAGGGCTGGCATCGGACCCAGATGTGACCAGAAGCTGAGATGCCGAGGCTGAGGAGGGAGTAGGGTGAAGGTAGGAGGTTTGGGACCTGGAGGCTTTTCTCCTCAATGTCTGTCCCTTCCAGAGGGGGAGGTCAGGACCCAAAGGAAGCCTAGAAGCACTCTCCCAAAATAGCTCTCTTGACTGCCCTAACAAGATGGGGAGGAGGCAGGGGAGCCCAGCCCAGCAGCCTGCTCTCTCTTCTCTGGCTTCCCTCTCATTCCTCTCCAAGGCAGCCCAGCCAGTGGTTTGTTTAAACCAAACAATAGCAACCTAGGTTGACTGTTTCTTTTCAATTCCCCGTGGGCTTGGGTTCCACCCAGAGCAATAACCAGGCTTCTCTCCTCCAGTAAGGGCAGGGAAGCAGGGAGGGTGGGGGCTGAGACATGTGATATGGGTCAGGGAGCTGCTGTTGTAGAATCAGAGCTGGGCCCATGCGGAAAGTCTGACTTGAAGCTTGCTCAGACCTTGGGACTATCTTCTCACTCACTAGGGCTGCTTAGTAAAGACTAGATGCAAACCCTTGGGTTAGGCTTCCAGAATCAGGCCGACTGTTCTTCCTATCTGCCTCCCTTGTTACCTCTCTGCACCTGTGTTCCACTTGGGTGCTTGGGACATTTAGCTACTCGGGGTGGCCTAAGCCGATCCTACAGATGGATGCCACTCTTGCTGGCAGGAAGGGTAGAACGTGATGGCAGTGGATCCATATGCAGTAACTGGACAGAGTAGCTGTGACTTAACTCAGGTTGGGTGAGGGTAGCTAAGTGTCCTTTGGCTATAATCTCTCCTCGGGTTGGTCCCGGAGGGGCTGAGATTCCTACTATGGGATCAACATCAGTAAGGAAGCCACACTCTAAAAGCTGAGAAAACTGGGGGCCCAGAGAGGCTAAACAAACTGTCGTCCCAAGCCATTTGAGTAATGAGTGGGAGAGCTCCAGAATGTTCAGGAAGTGAGGGACCCTGGGACTCCCGAGGCTGACTGATCAATGGCTCAGGCCTTTTAGCCCATATTACTGCCCTGTGCCTTTTTCAGGACACCTTGACACCCCCATTGCTCCACTGGTAAGCATTGTTTTCAGTCATCCATTATTAAATGGATGAGGGTGTGGCTCAGAAGAATGGGATGTTTGGCATGTGTGGAGTGTTGGGCTTACCCAAACCAAACTAAACCAAACCAAATAGTATCTGGAGGCCTGTGGCAACAATGGAAATCCCAGCCTAAAATATCTTGGTAGAAAATTACATCCAGCCTGGAAAGCTGGACCACTGGAGGATGGTCAGGACTCAGTAGCAGAATGTGAGAGGGATGTTGAGAAATGCCTGCTCTGCCCTAGTGGCCAGGCCAAGGAGGGACTCAGATGGGGGTGGGTAGGGGCCTGGCGTTGGAGGGGCACAGATACTACTTGCACTTTTGAAGGAGAACCTGCAAGAGACCAGGGACCACCGAGAGCTCCCAACACTCTTAGCTTTTTCGCGGCCCCCAACCTGCTGTCTCCACCTGTTCTGGAGGACTCCAGGTGTTCTTGGAGACCTGGTTAAACCCAGCCCAAACCTCCTGTCCCTCTTTGTACCTGAGGACAGTTGAAATTTTCAGAAAGAGTCTTTTCTAAATGCTCAGTTAAAAAAAAAGAAATAATTACTGAAATTACGAACACCATAGATGCAGTTGGATTTCTGACACCTAGGAACGCTGAGAAGCCCAGGATGGGCTTTTTAGAGTGGCAGGACTAGGGACGTTTTAGGCATGTTTGTGTCATGTACCTGGGAGGACACTAGGGAGTCCTCATGAGTGTGAAGGACAGATGGTAACAGATGGAAGTGACTTTTTTCCACAACCTTTTCCCCATTCCTCCTCTTCTGGGGAGGGGAATCTCTGGTCGGAGGAGGTGTGGCAAACTGCTCTGTAGGGAAGACCCTTATGTTTACAGGATGTAAGAGAAGCAGTTGCTCTTAGAAGTTGGTCCTGTGTGCGTGTGTATGTGTGCACCCACGCTTATGTGAGTGCATCCATGCATGCATGTATGCAATAGGGTGCTGGGTACACACTCGACTACCTGGCACAGGAATTCACATAAATTATAGTAGGGACAGAGTCTAAGGCCATGTGCGTCCCAGGCAAGCACTCAACTACTGGACAACACCCCCAGCCCTAGCACAAAGATTCTAATTGCACAGAAGGATCTGGACTCTGGGAGCACATGGGTTTCTCTGCGTTGGTAGACATGAGGCTTTTGTTTGCTGGCTTCCCTCTCAGCATCCACTGTCCCTCTGTTGAGCTAGCTTAGAATTTGGAAATACTTGGGGAAAGTTGGGGCTTGATTGAGAGTCATGGGAACCAAGAAGATTTAAAACATCTTAAAATGCTTCTGGCTGATTTGTCTCAGGTTAAGTAGTCAAAAGCATGGTGTTGGAAGCTGCTGCTGGTGATGGTGGTGGTGGTGGTGGTGATGTGTGTGTGTGTGAGAGCATGCACATATGCCTACCTGTCTCTCCCACTGTTTACTCATGTTCTGATTCTCCAGGGCACTATTCTGTTGTCTGATCTCAGCACACTCCCTGCATGGGAAGATGGAGAGCAGTAGACCATGCAACCAGACAGAAGCGGAGGGGTTCCAGCATCTCCAGGGCAGGGGCTGTAGCCCACCATCGTTGTTCCCCTGGGATGTCTGCACACAATGGGCAGGGGTGTAGCTCCCCTTCCCTTTGCTACCCCGGTCAGTCCTACTTCTCATCTATACCCTTTGTTTCCTCTCCTTGTGGGGACACTCGTGCACTGCTCTATCCGAGGCCTCTCACTTCCCCCTCTCCGAAAGCCCACCAGAGAAAGGCTCAGGCTCTTAATTTGCTTCATGAATCTCTGGTGGGTGTGAAAGGGGCCTGACGGTTGCTGGTCTCAGCAGAGTTGCTGGTGCCCTGGCCTCATTCTGCTGCAATTACCTACAGGCCACTAGCCACCCACAGGGGTGGGGGGTGGGGGATGGAGGGTGAAGGGGTGGGGGGTGGTTCAAAGCTCCAGGTCCTGGGGCCACCTGACCTCCAGGTAAAGGATCATGGAACATTTCCTCTAGCACTCAGGAGACGATTTAATCTCTTCACCCACCTCTTCCCATTTACGCGGAGGATTCAGTCACTTCTGCCTGACTAGGGATTCCCTCTGGCAGAGGGGGAAGTCTCGCTTTTTGATTTCAGGGAGAGTGGAGGGCATCAAAAAAGAGCCCCAAATTTGAAAGTAGGCAAGGAGCAGAGAGATAAGGGAGAGTGCTAGGAGAAGTGAGCAACACAGTCCTTGGGTAGAAGACAAAGAAAGACAACCCCCCTCAAACAAAACAACAACAACAACAACAACAACAACAGGAAACTGGGAACGGAGTCCAGACTCCCCGACCCTGGCACCGAATGAGAAAGCTCCTTGCTGTTTCGCACAGCTGCCTGCAAGCTGCCAAGTGGCAAAGGAGCCAGGAAAGGCACAACACTGGAAAGTGCTACCCAGCAATCTGTGTATTCTGCAATTAACATGGGCTAAGCGAGGGGAAGGCATTGACAGCTCCCAGGCTCCGAGATCCCCAGGGGCTGTGGCTGCCAGGCCACCAGATGCCAGCCTGGAGGAGACCCAGCTCTGGAGATGGTGCCTCCTCTAAGGGAAAGCCTTCCAGTCAATTAATCCTGTGGTTTGCTCTTGCCCTGGGGCTTGGTCACTGGGGAAGTGCAAGGAAGCCCCTGGGAAGATGGAGGCGCACAGATCTAAGGGCCCCTGTCCACTGAGTGCTTCTAGACCCCAGGGTGTAAGGGGGCCAATTATTTTGCACACTTGTTTCCTTCAACATATGTCAAGATCAAAGACTTGTCAGGTCCTTCCCTCTGCCCTGGTGGGCAGTAGAGACAGCATAGTGAATACTGGTGAACAGACCAGCGGGTGGGCAGCAGATCCTGGTACCTGGACACCAGTGGACAACAGGACCCCTGGGCTTGATTCTGAGCTTGGTTTCAAATCTAGGTGCCCAGATACCATGGTGGGGTATAGATGAAGAGGAATGATTGATTTCTCCCAGGAAGTAGTGGCCCGGGATGGGAGGAACATCACCCAAAGCTTAACCACCTTTTATCACACTGGGTTAATAGGCAAATTTCCCAAGGCCAAGGTCAAGGTTGTCTGTAGAAATAGAGCTTGAAGCCGGGCGGTGGTGGCGCACGCCTTTAATCCCAGCACTCAGGAGGCAGAGGCAGGCGGATCTCTGTGAGTTCGAGGCCAGCCTAGACTACCAAGTGAGTTCCAGGAAAGGCGCAAAGCTACACAGCGAAACCCTGCCTCGAAAAAACCAAAAAAAAAAAAGAAAAAAAAAAAAAGAAATAGAGCTTGAAAAATAGAGGTGCTCCTCGCCCTTTGTTCCAGGCCATGTGAGGTGTAAGTGGTGTCTCAGTAAGTTCTGCTTACTTGACACTCCCTGTATATGACAGTCTATATAGCATGGAGCTGATTCTGAGGAATAATGGCTGGAGAGATGGGAAGATGAGTGAATGGATGAGATGCTCTGTGCAGACATAAAAGTACTAACGAGATACAGTTCTTGGTGTTCTGAAGCCCACGGTCCAGAGGGGCAGATAAATCAGCAAAGGAACAACTGTGTAGGCAGTGCTCAGATGACAAACGGGAGTAGACTTGGTATCTGAGAGAACTAGAGAGAGGAGGCTAGTCTTCGGGCTTTGAAGGACAGGTATAGTGTTTTGTTTTGGATGATGGATAAAACAAGAGAGGGAAGGACAGCTTGAGTTGAGAAATCAGCCTGCCATTTTTCAAGTCTGCACTGTCCCCCACAGGCTGTGTTTGAACACGTGAGTCCCTGGCCAGTGGTGCTCTGTTGGGAATTTGTGGAGCCTTTTGTGACATGGTACCTAGATGGCACCCATAGGCCACTGGGGGCAAGCCTTGAAAGTTGTATGTGCTTCATTTCTGGTTCATTTTCTCTGCTTCTTAGGTCATCAAAAACCGAGGACCTGCAGCCTCATATAGAGCGTTGCTAACCACCATGCCTCCCCTAACATGATAGACTGTGCCCTCTGAAACCGTTCGCCAAGACAAATCCCTCCCCTAATTTGTTCATGTCTGATCAATGAGAAGAGTAACTAATATTTTCCTTAAGCGTGTGAACACGGAAGTGACCTGGAAGATGGGACAGACTGGACCACCGGTTAGAGCCAATCACCAGATGCATGTCTGAAAGAGACTCAAGAGAAGGGCGGACCTGCAAGGGGGAGGCCAGGCTCTGGTGTCAGGAACTACATCGGGTTGTGGAGAGCCAAAGCCATCCCATCAGCAGGCTGAACCTTGAGTTCACAGATCTCAGGCAAAGCCTTTCTCTTTTCCAGAGACTCAGCTGCCATCCCAGGAGGGTTATGGGACCTAGCCGGCTGAGCTGCCTCTCAGGTCAAGAGGGGATGAGGGTTAGGCTGGGCTTTGGTTCCCTGTCATGCCAAAGGTCAACAAGTGGCTCCCCTCAGAGCATGTGCGCTTGGGATCTGGGGTCCCAAATGCCTCTCTTCTATAAACAGTAATTTTTATTTGAGGTTTCAAAAAAAAAAAAAAACCCAACGCTAATTTATTTGAATTCTGTGTGTGAATGTGTGTATGTGCTCGGGTGGGTATATGTATGTGTGTGTAGAGAGGCCACAGGACAACCTCAGTGGGGCAGGCTTCTCACCAGGGTTTCTGCATGAGTTAGTTCACATTTCCCAGGACCGTCTCTGCTGAAGCGCAGTGAGGCTGGGAGGCCGCCCGCTTGGAGGGTAGAGGCCTGCTGCTCTGCTTATGGAGCCATGTTTCCTGGTCTGACTCTTGGCAGTCACAAGACTAAGAAAATGGAGATGTCCACTTGACAGGCGGCTCAGGCATCCGACGTGACTGTGCCGCCGGGCCAGCCAGACTTCCGCCCAATATCATTACCAATTAGCTTCGTGACTTTGAGGAGCCATTCAATTTCCGAGTGTCTCAGTCTCTGTACCTCCAAGTAGTGATGGTAATGTACAGCTGGGGTTTCTCACAGAGTTGCTATGGAGTTGTAATTGGGAAACAGAGCCCCGAAGCCCCACAGTGCCGCCCAAGTCTAAGGGTCATTACTGAGCTGAGCTCTCCACTGAGGCTTCATGAAAGGCTAGTGGCGGGAGTGGGGGGGGGGGGCTCTGTGGCTGCCAGTGCTCTTCGATTGTGACAGGCCCAGGAAGTGCCTGTGCCGGGTCAAGCTCACGAGGCTAATGGCTGTGCTTAGGGCTCAGAGGTTATCCAGCTGTGACTGTGGCCTGTCCCGCTGGGCCTGTGCTCACCCCAGGCTTGTGGAGCAGGCAGTGTATGATGTTTATTAATAGGCCTTGATGAGGGGCATTAATGTCTCCTAATGACACCATCTGAGCCTGGCCTCTTTTCTTCTCTTACTCCTTGATCCTTCTGCCCACGCCCATCCCCCACCCCACAGAGACACACACTGTCATATACACAGAGAACAGAGGGCCACAGTCGGGTCTGGAGGAGGCTCGTGCCAGAGGGCCGTGGCAGGAGCCCTTGTCTGAGGAAGAGAGGGCTTGGCTCTTGGGGAATGGATGGGAGGTCTAGCCTCAGGGATCGGAGGGAGGGTCCCAGTGGGCAACAAGGCAGAAGTTGTGGGAACTTGGCCGAAAATGGCTTTGTGACTAAAGGGAGGCAGAATGTGGCCAGACCTCTTTAGAACCGGTGGAGATGGGAACGGCTGGGGGAGTGTAGACGGGGCAGAGGGCTGGCTTCCTTGAAGGGCACAGCAGCTGGGTGGGGAGAGCTGAGAAGGGTAAGTGGCAGGGGAGAGACAGTCACAGGCAGGGAGAATGGTGACTGATCACACACACACACACACACACACACACACACACACACACACACGCATGCACGCACGCAATATGCTCCAATTCTCACACCAAACATATATCTATGCTCATACATACACACTCACAGTCACAATGTGTTCTCATACTCAGTACACTCATACACATGCACTTATGCATACCCATAGTCCACATATAATGTACACACATACAGTGTACTCACACACTTATGCACATGTGCTCACATGTACATGCATACACACACTTACACCTCCATATTCATATATGCACTTGCTTTCATGCACACACACACACATGCTCACCCAAAAGGCCCATTTACAATTTCCTAACACATTCAACAGACATACAACATTCATATGTACTTACATGTTTGCACTGATTACACACCCTCTCCCTCAAATGGACGCACGCACGTGCGCACACACACACGCATATGTGTGATCACACTTATCTGCTGATGCTTACCTGCCACTTGCTCACAAATATAATATACAGAAACATGTATACTCAATATGCTCATGACATACCTATCACTCAGGAGCTCACACATACACATTTATAGACTTAAACACAGCAAACACAATCTACTCACATGTACAATATGTTCGTACATTCACACAGGCTCACACACAACCACGACATATAATCTCTCATACACTTGCCTCTGTACATGAAGAGGCATATATATATATATATATATATATATATGCACACATGTACACTCACACATACACACATGCTCACATACACTAGCATGCTCATACTCAGATCCCTATGCTTCTTACATTCTCACTAATACACAGATGTGTGACCCTCACTCACATGCACTCCTCTCCCAAGCAGCCTCTCACTGGTGGTATTACCAGAGCGTAAGAGTGATGGGAGGAACGGGGCAGGTGTCTAGGCTACAGCTCGGACCGTGGGAATAAGACAAGTGGCAGGGAGTGTGAACAGACAGATAACTGACTGATGGAGAGGTCTGTGGGTAGGCCCAGAGCTGGCCTGTTGCCCAGGGAGGGTCTAAGGGCTGGTAAGCCTCGGCTGGGCGGTGCAGAGAGTATGGGGCGGGGCTGCAGTCTTCTGGGAGGTGGGCCCATAAGTCTAGTCCTCCTGGGCCTTCCTCCCTGGGTGCTTGTAGAAGGCTGCAGGTATGCTGGCTCCAGCGGTAATTAAGACAGGAGTGCAGTTAATCCCTAAAACAAACAGGCCTTGAGAAACTGCAGCCCAGCTGGAGCGCAGGGAGCTTCAGGACTCACTCTTCAGCCCTGGCTCTTATCATGCCTCATCTCTCACCTGTAGAACCCCGTCTTTCTGGCTGCTGACTGCACCCCACACCTGACATCCCCCTCCCTGCCCTGAATTGTGTGGAGAGGAGAGCTAAGGAGGGCCCAAATGCTGGGAGGAGGTGACCCTACCAGACTTCTGCTTCCTAATCCACAGCAGACCGCCAAGGAGTGGTACCTGGCCAGGTTGATGTCTGGAATGCCACGCCCCAACTTGGGAGGCTCCTGAGGTGGTTGGGATCGCTTTCCGGGAGCTACCTGCACCTGTAGAGGATCTGGGCCCCATCTAGGAGATGAGGGGCGTTTTTGAAGTTTGGGTCACACAGGCTGGGCTAGGGTGTAGAGCTGGGTGAGAAACCTTGCCATCAAGAGCCTTCTACTGTGGCTTCGGGGATAGGGATGGGGGAGCCAGAGCACGAGCAGCCGGACTCTTGGGTCCCTGTCTCTGCCTTGTCTCCCCTCTTTGCCCCATTGGACAAGTCCATCCTACTGCCATATTTCCTATGGCAGTAAAGAACAAATGGGGGAAGGTAGGGGGCCCATGGGATACTTCTTAGACAAATAAAGGATCAGAAGCACGAGGACCTGCAGGGCCGGGTCCCGCTTTGCAGCTCTGGTGGGAAGAAGATTGGTAATCCAGGCTTTTGAGCCTCCCATCCATGCAGCCAGGCCTGGGCTGCCCTGTGAGCAGGGAAAAAGGGAGGGAGGAGGGAGGGAGGGAGGAGGGAGGGAGGGAGGAGGGAGGGAGGGAGGAGGGAGGGAGAGAAGGAAGGAGGGAGGGAGGGAGGGAGGGAGGGAGGGAGGAAGGAAGGAGGGAGGGAGGAAGGAAGGAGGGAGGGAGGGAGGAAGGAGGGAGGGAGGGAGGAAGAAGGGAGGAAGGAAGGAAGAAGGGAGGAAGGAAGGAAGGAGGGGAAAGGGAGGAAGGAGGGAGTGGCGTGAGGAAGAAAGATCAGGAGCTTTTTGAAAGAGAAGATGCGGGCAAGGGTTGGAGGCTCTGGGAAACAGATCCTTGTGAGAAAGTGTGACAATTGGAGAAACAGCCCAAGTCCCCTTCTGTCCCGGCCAGCGGGATCTTCAGCAGAGACCCTAGAAGGGGGAATGGCGAATGAAGGGACAAGAGACATAAAGAATTGACAGCAAGACAGTATTTTGATAAAATTGTCCTCAGCACCGTTCAAGTCCCATCTCACTCATTCCTAAAGGCTGACAGTGAGCCTGGCTTCTGTGTACTGGCCACTAGCCCCCTGTTACTGAAAATGCAGCTGCTCCAGAGCAGTAACTGGGCCCATGCAGTTTCCAGCAGCCTGCCCGGGATGGGAGCGCTTTAGAAAAGGCAGCATCTGGGGTTCCACTCTCGGCCTAGTAAATCCCAGCATTTATTTTAATAAGAAACCCCAGGGAAAGCTGGTCCCAGTGATGCAGGCTCATAATCGCAGCCGAGGTAGGTGGATCACAAGTTGAAGATTAGACTGAGCTACAGAGTGAGTTCGAGGCCACGTTGGGCAACCTAGTGGGCCTTGTTTCACAAGTTTTTAAACGTGGAAAAAGTGGGGCGGGTGGCTAGGGGCACAGCTCAGTGGTAGGGTGCTTGCCTGGCCTAGGCAAAACCTTAGGCCCACTTTCCAGTGTGGTCAAAGGAATGAAACAATCCCCCATCCCTCAACAACCCAAGGTGATTCATATACATGCTTAACCTGGATGCTATCTGCCACAGGGTGCTGGTTCCCTAAGCGCCTCTGGGTCCAGGAAGGGGACTGGACTCTTCAGCAGACATATGGCGGCAGCAAAAGGAACCCTCTGTGTTCTGGTCCTGGATGGACTCCACTTTCCTGTCTTTTCCTGCTCTGGCCCCGGGGCAGCCTTTCCCTGATAGGCCCTGGCTGACCTTCGGGTCCTAAGGTGCTTACTTTTAAGTTAAGGTGGTTGAGACAGGGTGGGACAGCCAGAAGAGGGTCACATAGGGACACTGGGGTTTTGAGTCCTTGAAGTCTTGGGGGTGTGACGGTCACCCCATTTGATAGGCACTTGAGGTACCTGTGGGCTTTTGGTAACCCCTGATAATCCTTCCTCAGACAGTACACCCTCTGGAACTCTGTGTGATGTGGGGTATTCCTGTTCTCTGGGTAGGTAGGGACCTCAGAGACCAATGGCGGAGGGAAGACACAGGAAAGACTGGGGGGATGGCATGGGAAGCACTTGGCCCGAAAGGGCCATGACCCTCTCTGTGGGCTCCGCTGGCAGAAGGAGGATTGTAGCCAAGCCCCTTCCTCATCTAGTATTCCCTCCTCCCGGATGTCCGAGGTGCCATCCACGACCAGACACCATCTACTACCCTTTCATTCCTTAGCTGGCTGTGCTGGGACCTGTGTGGTGGGCCTTCATGTCTCTGCCTGCCTGTGACAAACCAGAGCTGTTTGTTAGGCCCAGGGAATTATGAATGGGGCCCACCAGAGCCCAGCCAGGGGCTGGGGCCATGCAGTCTCCAG